ATTTTGATATATCCCAAGATGTAATGTTTAGGAAAGGTAATATAAACAATAGTTATCTTTTAGTCAGAAATATAATACAGAATGTTGTTTTTATAAGAAAAAATATTTCTCCAATCAGTGCAATGTTTATGGAAAATCAGGAATCTTTCTATTTTTTCTTTTTCCCATGCCTTCTCCAATCAGGGGTTGGCGACCACTAATTTAAATGTTTCTCTATCTTTGGCTACGTTGAACAACTCTGGCACACCCATAATTTTGCTGCGTAAAAATATTAAATAACTTAAACCTTTGGGGAATACCACGAACGAAAAACATTTTGTTCACTTGCAGAATACCTAAGAAGGTGACAAAATGACTTAACAATACTCCTGAACTTGACTAGTACAAGTTGATCTCACTCTAAGTTGAGTTAATCATCATTTGGATAATAAAATATACACATCTGCGAACGACAATTATTAACGTGCAATTGACTGGCTGTTGGAAACTCAAATTAAACAAATGCATTTGCATTTACGTTTTGCGATAGAAGAACAATGGTTCAGAGTCATATCAAAAGTAGGTACTTATGAAAGCTGCTTTGCTGGTGCGGTAATCAATTTGATATACAAGGTAATTCCAAATTGGCGTCATTCATCTGGAGGTGTTTTCTTGCGGTGTTTTAGTACCGAAAAAATAATACAAAAAATTAATTGTTATTAAAAACTGAGAAATTTGCAAAGAAACTATATTAGGAAGACGCCAACAATGTTTTTCAAGGTAGTCTGCCTAATTAACATTACCTAAATACCGGTTGTTTCGTAATTATTTAAAACTCCGGTAACCATGGATAAATAGAGAAAGTGACAATAAGATAGACGAGGATAAACGTTAAATTCAACAGGCATCGTTGAATAACGGAACCTATTTCGCAACTCATCATCTCGAATTATTAAGTTATTGACAAATTACAAAAACATACATTTGAGCCTGTACCTCCAAGCAAGTGCCTGTGTACTCTTCTCGAGCAGCTTCTCGTATTCGCTTAATTAACTCCTGTTCAATTTATACCGGTGTTCAGTAATCCATTGGTTTAATGTGTTTCTTATATACGTGGTAGGGATGTAGCCGGTATTTATTCGATGCCTGGGAACGTGTGAGTTGTTGCACAATGTTCGGAATGCCCCTTAACGGCTCTTCTGCAATTATATCTAATACTTGTTCCTCTGTGCCTGGACACATAGGTCCGAACATCTATTGTCGTCCACTATCTTCCTGGAACCACTCTCCTCGCCCTTTGTTGGCGTGAGTTCTTTCAGCTTCTGCTATGTTACTGTAGCA